GAGAGAGAGAGAGAGTGCGTGTATACACTTATGAAATTGCACTTGGTCAACTTGGTTTCGCGATGTCGCACAGAAGCGAGACGAGGTCGTTGAAGTTGCGGGAGGACGTCACAAGGAACGATGCAAATCTGTTTCGAGAGAGTTTGCGTCCTTTGTTAAACGTCGTATCAAACGCGGCCAACTTACAATCCCCTTTTTCACTCGTTCATATCCTAAAACTTTCCGCCAACTCTCGAACCGCTCGATCGACCAGTCATTCTTCGTCTTTTCTCTTCCTTTATCGTTTCTTGCCCATCGATCGTCGAGAATTTCGTGACGGCTCCGCTTTCTTCCAGACCATCTGATCTTCAATCGCGCGCCACACGGATAAATATACATCCACGCCTTCGATATACGTACATACGTGGTTGGCATAGTCGATAGGAAAAGTTGTACGCGCCTCTCTCGCGCCTCTATCCCTCACGTACGCCACTGTTCCTCCAATCCTTAAATATATATTAAACGTTGCATAGATACAAACGATCTGCCCTTTTTCGCGGAAACAAAGCGTCACGAATCAATGGAAAGTTGTCGTGGAAAAAGACGAATCGCCGCATTCTAGAAGATAGAAGTTTTAACCAAGAAAGATGGAACGATCTCGTTGTTTCGACGACCAATTCAACGGACTTAATATTTAAACCTATATCTTCTTCTCGATATTTGAAGATATAAGATTAATACGTTTGGGATTTATCGTATTTTCCACTCGATCGAAATATTGTGCGATTTGGACGAGGATGATTTACTCGACCGCTGGCGGGCAATACTCTTTTCAGATTCGTCGGATTTCGAGGAAAAGCACGAATGCGGTTAGCGAATATATCTCCGTGGCAACAACTGCCGGCTCCCCGCGGACTCTAAGTAAGTAATTGTAAGTAAATGAGGTGGTTCACGAGCGTGCACTTGCTTGCGCGCTTACGCAGAAAAAAAAATGTACGCGCGGGTGAAAGGATGGCTTGAATTTAATTAAAAAATTTTTTAACGGATAGCCCGCGCTGAATGCCTGCATTACCGACACTACTTTCTTTAACGCATTCATTCGACGATTTATGCGGTAACGCACGTTATATTTTACGAGATACCTGGTAATAATAAGAAACTTTGTCCGGAAAAATGTGGAAAAATCAGAAAACCAGCCAAACCAAATTTCACGAGGAACGATTATATGAAAAAAAAAAAAAATAAATGATCGATGGTTAATTTTTAAAAATTTTTTGGAAAGATCCATATAAAGATCCACAATATTCTATTCGATGAGGGACGACAAAGTTGAAAAGTTAAACCGGAGGATCTAGAATAAAATTGTTGTTGCATAAATTATACAACGCGAGATATTCCACGCGAGATGTAAGGAAGATTTGTGTCAAATATAAATGAATTTCGGAAAAAAAACTGAAAGGCCGCAAAATCATTTGACGATCCGTAATTTGTGGCACGGGCGTTTATCTCGATACGAGTATGTTTGATCGTAGTTTGCATGCGTTGAATATTCATATTCGAAATGGGCGTATCGATACAGGGTTATCACACGCGAAATTCAACCGCTGGAAATTTTTATGGTCCATTACGAGGGTTGGCAATGGTGCATAATGAAAATAACATTTTCGTCCTGATTTTCAATTTTTTATCAGGACAGGGAACGGGTTGAGCCCCGATCGAAATTGATTTACACACGATTCCCGATCGCGATTCGTTACTTCCGTCTCCTGTGTATTTGTTAATTTAAAAGATAATATTCATGAAATACTATACCGGCCAATATGGCAAACCAATAATCCACGCTTCGATAATGCACTCGACCATATTGTCGCGTTTATTTTTTCACGTATTTTCCCCTCGTATTCCGTAGTTACAAATTCATAGATTCGAAATTCGTTGCGGTAGGTTACGAACGAATCGTTATCGATCTAACGTTTCTTCCCCACTATGTTTATCGACAGGATAAACTCATACCGGTTTCCTCGAGTTGTTCTCCATCCTCCTCTGTTTACAGTTTCATCTATACGTCGCTAGATCAATAAATACACTGGGACGACGCGGTGCGTCGTAATATTTCACTTAAGTTGGAGCAGTCGACGGGTCTCTCGCAGTCAACGACGAACAAGTATTTATCGTCGGCAGACACGTAACGTCCACTTTCGGTCAGAAACTTATCTCGGCCGAAGTTTACTGGCACCGAGAAGGCAAACGGAGAAAAGTTGGCTGCCAGAAGGTTACAGCGCTGGTAACAATGAACTAACCGGAATCGCGATAGACGAGCCAAGACGAAGGTGGGGGGGCGGTGGTCCTTTCTCCTCCATCTCTCGGTCAGAGATAACAGAGGTACGTGATTTTTCAAATTTTATTCCTCACTTTGATTCTACACTTTCCGCTTGTTGTTAGAATGCGCGGAATCCTCTTTTAATAATCTTTTAATTTTTTTAAATTATCCCTTCTTCAATCTCGATTGATTACGATACGTTTCCTCCCCTCCCATGTTTTTATCTTTCTCGTTTTATTTCTTCCCTCTGCCCCTCTTTGTTTCGCTCATTTCCTTTTTCTTTTCGCGTGCTTCCTTTTTTCTTCTTCTCCACGCTCGTTTCGAAAACGAAAGAACGAGAGTCATCATACATACGTACATACAACATACATACATACATACATACATACATAGTTTAGAATGGTCTATTTTATTTGAAAAGTGAATTCGGTGGAAATCAAATCCGAAATGGCGATGGAATTGAAACCCCGGGCAACCGGGTTGGATGGATAGACACCTCATCGATCGGTGCATAGTACTATATATTCGCCATAGATAAATCGTTTTAACGTGCAACTTACCTTCTGATCCTTCTGCCAGATACACTGCCCCCTCTTGCCGAGCACGCGGCATATCAACTTCGCGTCTTGTCCGGGATTCACCTCGGTGTATTGGGGTGTCTCCTCGAATTGTTGAATACCACGGCACACTGCGAACAAAAATATACATCATTCACAGTCATTGGACGCGAGTCGAACCTTTTTCCTTCGTATTTCTCTCAAATTTTTTCTTCGAGAGAATAGCGATAATAACAACGAAAAGGTATGTACAGTTAACGAATTGAAATTTTTTTCGTCGAGAGAGAAGAATATAACAATTGAATTAAACTTACTTTGGGGAAAAAAAGTATTATGCCGGAACACTTTTTTTTCACTTTTTTGAGAAAAGTGGGATCAATATAATTAATGGATCAAAATTCCTTCTATGGAGAGGGAGAAGAAGAAGATAAACTTTCTTGATGAATTAAAATTCTTCCTTTGTGAATTCTTCCTTGTGAACAAAAAAAAAAAAAAAGAAAAGAAAGAAGAAAAAAAAATAGCACAATGGATAAAGTGAACATAGAGAACGCATAGAGAACGAATAACTAGTTGAACCTGAACCGGTGCTGCCCTTATAATTGAATGCGCGTTATGAAAGAAATTCTCGTATCAGGGAAGGAGGAGGGGAGGGAGGGTGGACGAGTGGAGAGAAAAGTTTTGTTTCGAGCCGATGGGGAAAATAACAGAGAGAAACGTATAAGCGTCGGTTTATCCGGGTATTAAAGCAGGCAGGTGCTCGTTAAAGTTGTTATTTAATTCGCAACTTCGATAAATTCGTTTAACCCGCTCGATCCGGCTACGGACCCCCCTCGATTTTCATCTCTCGGCTACCCCGATAAATTCTATCAACGGGGATAATCACGTTCCCCCTCCCGTTGTAAACGAGCCTCGTCCTTAATTCACACGACAGCCAAGCCTTTCTTTGATTAAATAAAACTCGGTATTATTGGTTCGGTTCGCGTTATTCGTTCGAGCTCGATCTCGATCTCGAGAAACAACAACGATTTATCGGGACGAGGTTATCACGGGGCAAAAGTCTCGAAAAGCAAGGAAAAAAAAAAAAAAAAAAATCATCGCCTTCATACTTTTTCCATCCCGCCTAATGTCCACCCTCTCCGTTCCTGTCCATTTCACGTTTTCGTTTTCAACGTGGGCGACGTGAAAGTTTTACGCGAAGCTCGCGTTGCCGCATCGTTCTCGTTGGATTGCGCCGTTAAAAATTCAATTTTTCACCGAGATGGGAATGATTAATAAAGCGCCCGCTTTTTGCCCGCGCGCGCCCACTGTTACGCGAAAATAACTTTGCAAAATTAACAAACCGCCACCGTTCCACCGTTGCTATTTTACGACCGCGAAAATGAAGGAACGTTACTTCACCAACCGCCCCCCGTATACACCTTCAGACCGACGTCTCCATCCTCGTGCCCCGATTCGCCCCGCTCCGCGCGAGGATATTGAAATTGTCCCCAGATCTGCGATTCCCAGCGAGGCGAGCAAACAAGGCGCAAGTTGGTCAGAGGCGTTCGATAAGGCGGAACGGCGGACTTGGAAAATTTTAATTTATAACCGTCGTCGTTTGTGATTCACGGCCGAGACAAAGACCTTGCCCCCCTTTCCTTCCCTTCCCTTCCCTTCCCTTCCTTCCAAGTTACAACGTAGTAGCTTGGCGGGAATTATGCATTCCCCCAAGGCAGGCCGAACTGCTCGACTTATTTTCAACGAGTGGCAGAGATAAAGCGGAATTTCCTCGAGTTCCGGCTAGTTATCCCGCGCGAACGGCTTATGAATTAATATCGCGGGATATCGAGAATACTTGGAGGGAATATTTTAGCGGAATATTCGGGCTCGAGGATCGATCGGGATAGAAGGAGGAGGAGGAGGAGGAGGAGGTGAAATAAAATCTAAAATTCATCGTCGTCGTAACTATGGCCGTGGAATCTCCGATCAGCGGGTGGATAGGCGAGAGACGGCGAGGGACGAAGGGATGTGGGAGAGGAGGAGCGAAGCAATCGTCGATCAGGGGTGGCGGTTACGGGTAAAAGTTAAAGAGTTTCGCAACAGGTCGGGCGAAAGGATAAATTCGAGGCTCCCTCCCCCTCCACTTCACGCCCCACTTGATTCGTCCCTGCGAGTCGGATTTCTATCGCAAAGAAAGGGAGAGGGTGGGTAAATGGTAAATATATTCCGGTGAAAATCGCGTAAAATGAATTAATGATGCCGAAATGAACGGTGTAAATGCATGCTTTGCTTTGGTTGTTAATATTTTTTTATGTATTCTCTCTCCCTCTCTCTCTCTCTCCCCTTCAAATTTATTTGGAAGTATATTTTTTTTGCGAAGAGAATCTGTGTAATTGTATTTTTTCGTAATTATGAATTTAATTACGTTATATTATAAATTTAAAGCGTAAATATATATTCCCACTGAAATTGGATAGAACGAATTAATCGCGTCGAGATTCAATCGTTTGGAGAGTGAATATTTTTTTTTTAACCTATTTCTCTCTAATATACATTACATCGTACGTTTCCCGTACTGGTGATTTTGTAATCGAGTTTTTTGTAATTGGACGTATTTATAAACGTGACATTGGCAACGAACGAAATTTAATTGTCCGTATCTTTTAATCTTTCAATCAAATCCGCGATAAATTTTTCGCGAGAAAAATTGATTTAATCGAATCTAAGCTAATTAAATTTCTTCCTAATCGTAAATTTATTGAATTTAACGACAAGTAAGATAAGATTTTCGAAAAATTTCGGAACAATTTGAAACAATTTTTTAACTTCTCAAACTAAGCAGGTTAGTAAATACTGTGTGCGCAACGGTGAACAAACTCCACACGGAAAGTTCAGTGATTCAGCGGGGAAAGATCTCGAAAAGTTAAACGAGCGAGGTGTTTTCGAGGCGGCGTACGAATCGAAAAATTTACGAGCGAATAAATCGATACATTGTCGCGAGCATAGCGCGATAAAACGATCCTCTATCGTTATTAGTGGAGGGCCGAGCTGTTTTTCTCTCTCTCTCTTTCTCTCTCTCTTCATCCCGTCCCCTTTCAAAAGCCGCTTTCGGTGCACACCCGCATTACGGTTTTCCGTCTCGCTGGCTCGCGCTGATTGGCTTCAGAATCGTCCAATTATTAATCTCTCATCTGGTTTTCCATGGAAAGCTAAACCGGTCAGGTGGCGCGTGATAGGTCGTTGCCAGAATCATTCGACTGCACGTATTAATCAAGTTTGTGGGCCAAGCATAACGAGTCATCTCTGTCGTTAGTTACGCTTCTCTCTTGTTACTATCCGTTTCATTCCGCTGTTTCGTATTTCGCTCGAGGCTCGAGGTTTGTAACGATAAACGACAACGTTCTTTAACGTTCATTGACGTAAATTTCGGTTATTGCGTTGATTCAGATTCGCATTGATTCGCTGGTAAATCACGTCTATAACGATAATGTATATATATGTATACAAATACGTGTATATTTTCAATTACGTTACGCGCGCAATTTTATGGAAATAAAATTAGGAAAGGAGCATCGATGTCACGGGGAAATCACCGTTGCTCGATCATCCGAATGTTTCAACCTCGTGATTTTCCTGTTTATGGGTGTAATTATTTTTTTTCCGATCGTAGTTTAAACTTATAGAAAAACTTATAATTCAATGATAATGAGAAATACACGCGAAACGAAAAAAATTTAAACATTCGAGATTGGAATAAAATAATAATATCCGATTATTACGATAAATAATACGTGTAAAACGCGAGAATTGAACACGAATCATCCCCTTTACTCTTACTGGAACTACTTCTTTCTCCTTTAATTTCCCTGTAACGGGGAAGGGAAAAGAGTTAAAAAGGGAAAAAATGAAATTTTTGAGGCCAAGCGGCAAAACAAAACTAGCGCGTCAACCGGTTAAATCGTTCCAACGAGTCTCCCTTTTTATTTCACGGAACGGGCAAGTTTCGCCTCGCCAAGTCACGAACAACTCGGTCGGAGGTAAATCGCAGGGGTGAAACGATCGATCGCCCCCCTCCTCGGTGGCAAATCGTTCTATTAATTTCGAAAGATTTTTCGAAGGTTTGAAAAAGTTTCGCGGTTAATCTTATCGACGTGGTCCGCGGTATCGATCGAGGGAGGAAGCTGGAAAAAGCTGGAAAACCTTGTCTAGGAATGAACCACGTAATGCTTGCAATGCGAGCAATTTCACGCCAAACCGACTCTCGCCCCGATTCCATGTTCGATTGTGTCCGCGGATTACGAAGCAATTACGCCCGCTTCTCTCGTGTCCGATCGGCTAAAGAGCTGACCTTTTCGACATTCACGATTCCATTCGTAATTTGTTTCCGACCGACGATCCGTGTTCAGAGATCATTACAAATTCCCACCAATCCAACGATACTTATTCTCACCCTCGTCGATCGATCGAAGCACGAGCATCTTCTTTTCAACCAACCTTTTTAAAGTGGGGGGAAAAAATTATTCCATTCTTGAAATATCGTCGAACGTGTCCTCCCTGTAACGAACCTGCCATCCGTTTCGAAAGATGTTCGAGGCAACATCGAGGTAATTAATTACCTCGTATTTGTCGCGGTAACGAGGCCATTATCTCGCTACCATATACTTATATCCTGGAATATTTCACGAGTTTCATCTCGGTGAACATTCTCCTTACGAGTTTGTGTACACATAAAGGCTAATTCTATGGGAAAGAGCAAGTTGGAAGAGGATCATGCGAGAGAGAGAGGGAAGATCTATTTTTGATATAGATTTTGAATTATTACGAGGAATATATATAGGGAAATTTACGTCTCGAGGTGTAAGATAGGTAGCGATTTTGTGCAATAAGAACGAGGATCCGGATTTATCCTTCCCTCGCATCAAAAAAAATTTTTGATTAACGATAAGATAAGAGGGATCGAAAGTCGATTCTAAAATTCAAATTATCGTGTCAAGAAGAAAAAAAAGAAAAAAGAAAAATATACATATATATATTTAACGTCGAGTTAAACGTTAAGATAATTTTATACAGAACCTTTCTAAAATTGGATGTCTCGGTAGCGAAGACCTTTATCGCGAGATCCGGGACGATTTACAAGAAGGAACAAAATTGC